CGCTTGAGCAGCTGGAACTCACCATTGGCATCTGGTTTGGTTTTTTCATCCTTCAGGTGTAAAGTGCTCAGCTAGAAATGAGGAAAAACACAAAATCAGAGAAATTCAAAGGCTTCCTACATTCTAATTCCAGAAGGGAAAACCCGAGCTTTGGATTTATTAAGTATTGCACAAGCCTCAGCCCAAACCCTGCTTGATGGGAAGGCATGAAAGTGTGAGATTAACTTGATTTCAAGAGTTTTAAGGCAAATACAACTATTTCTAAGCAAAAGTTTTGACAGAAATACAAGGTTTTCTAATCTGTAATGACAATACAAAGAAGGAGGTGTTTCCTCTCCAGAATCTTCAGTCTCCACCAATAGTTCTGCTGATGGAAAATGGGAGAAAAAAAATCAACATCCCAAGACGGAGACAGGATTCAAGCACACTCCCGGGTGGCACAAGGTCTGCCAGGATGAGTTTGTTTCACCACTTGTGATATGCCAGGGAGAGCAGCCCGCCGAGGGTGCTCCCCACATCCAGGGGCTCAGTGAACGCTCTCCATGCCCAATGCAGCACTTGGAGGCTCAGGAAAACACCATTTCAAAATTAGATCTTATCATTAAAAAAAAAGGGAGACAAAAAGGGATTTTTTTGGAAGTTGGAAAACAAGAGCTGAGGCTGGGTGGCTGCCTGAAACGGTGCTGTGTCTGGATGGAGGGTGAGGGGGAAAACAGAAAACACAGTATGGTTAGAACAACTGTAGATCCAAAGAAAATAAGAGAAAAAGGAATTTTTCTTTTTTTGGATGCTGGAAGACATAACTGAGGCTCGGTGGGTGCCTGAATCGGTGCTGTGTATGGATAGAGGGGGAGGGGGAGGGCAGGGACGTCTCTGCCCTTTGGATACGCGAAAAACAGATGAAGGAAAAGAAATTAAAAAAAAAATAAAAAGGGGGATTTTTTGTTTTGTTTCTAAAGGAAGAGCCCAAGCCCAGGGACATCCCCGTGACGGCACGAGGTCCTCCCTGCCCCCGCGGCAGAAAATGGGGCGAAAAAAGGGTTTTCTGCGATCGCTGTTTTCCTGTGAGAAGGCGGCCACGCGGCCCCGGGAGCCCCGCGCCGCTGATCTGGGCCTGATCATCCCGAGCTCCTGCAGCCCTCGGCGGGCACTCACCGACTCTGCCGCCGCCTCCTGCTCGTCCACGGCCAGGGCCCATGAGTCGGTGGCCATGGCCAGCCCGGGGTGGCCGCTCAGCCGCGATGGCGCCGGGCGGGAGCGGCGCCTGCGCGCGCGCGGCACCGCCCGCGCCAGGGCAACCGCGGCCGCGCACCCGCGTTCCGGGGGCAGCGCGTTCCGGGGGTGGCGGGGGCAGTGGGCTTGAAGGGTCTGGGCAGTGTGGGGCGGGGATGGGGCTGTGATCCCGGTATGATCTAGTGCTGGGGCTTGGACCCTTGTATGGTCTAGGGCTGGGAGGTCAGGCTGTGCCATGCTATCTTGTGGGGCCTGTGACCCCTGTATGGTGGGAGGCTGGGGTCAGACCCCCTGTGTGATGCGGGGCTGGGATCCCAATATAATGTGGGGGTGGGGTCAGGCTCTGCTGTCTGGTGTGGGCGCTTTCCCCATGTGTCTTGGAAAGGTCTGAGGGTCAGATTGTGCCTTGCACGATGTGGGGCTCAGTCCCCCATGTGGTGCGGGGTTTTTGGGGTCAGACTCTGCCATGCTGTCTGATGTAGGCTCTGCCCCCCTCTTTGGTGTGGGGCTGGGGCTTCTGTTTCCCGTGGAATGGAGTCCCTTTGGGAGGTGAGGCTGGAGGAAATCACACAGACGCTGTGACATTTGGGAGGGAACAGCAGCTCTGTCTCTGGAACAGAGGTGTAGATGAAAATGAAGTTGTAGGATGAGTCACAGAGGTGTAGACTCTTACTGTAGGGCAGGATCTGGCTTAGACCTAGTATCAAACCTGTTCTTTAAAGCTCCTGGAATAAAGGGGAGTAAAAGGGAAAGTAGAAAGGAAAAAAGTGTGGGAAGAGCCTGTGGGATTTCCTCACTGGGCTGCTCTTCCCTTCCTTGAACCTCGTTTGAAGGAGCAGCCTTTGATGAGGGTCTGAATTTGTGTTTTGTTACATGCAGCAGGGTCAGTAAAATGGCCAAGCCCACAGGCACCAGCTAGAAGTTCCCAAGCTGAGGGTTATTTCCTTGTCTCAATATTCCCTCTCCCTTTTACTGGAGACATGGAGCCACTTCGTTTGTTCCCACAGCCTGAAACTTTCATCTGAACTGTTATTTCCTTCTGTGCTGAGAAATCTTGTCCCAAGCAGGGCCAGACACTTCACTATTGCTCTTTACACACCTGTCTGTGGTTTGTTTTTACCTTAAAAGTAAACCCCATAATTATCAAATATTGTCATCTGATGCTTTCCCATCTAATTAAGTTTCCTGCTCAGAGGTGGGAGCCCCTCCCAGCCCCACAGGTGAACTTTGGGGTTTTGCAGCTTTATTTGTGGAGGTGATGTCATGGCTTATTTTTTCCATGGCAACACATTGCAGGAGGATGCTGAACACAGGAGCTGAACACAAGGAGATTTTCAATGGAAACAGGGCAGGCAGCCAAGACCAAATCTGAGACATTAATTAGGGTAAAAATAAAGGTAAATGTGGGAAGTCCCAGAGGCTGATGGTTTCATGCTTCCCAATTTAATGTTTCCTTGCAGACACACCTCCCATAAACAGATTTACTTGGGATTAGCCCCATTTCAGAGATAGGAAAACGGAGGCACTGAGAAGAGAACAACTGCCTGCGGTTCGGCAGTATTGGCTGGGGGCAGACCCCTCCTCTTCCTCCTTTCTGCCCGTTAATCTTGGCTGCAATAATTCCTTGGGATTTTCAGGGCTCTGGAGACTGTCAGTGAGCTGTGATTGTGGCAGGTGTTTCTCTGTTCTGTACATGAGGAAGGACTTTTCTCCTCAGCCTCTGGACCAGAGATGGGTTTCTGGAAGTGTGGGTTTCCTGTGGGTTCCTGGTTTCTGCTCTGGGACAGGAGTGGGTTTCTGGAGGTGTGGATTTCCTGTGGGTTTCTGGTTCCTCAGCCACCATGCAGGGTCTTTCATTTTGCTGGAGACTCTGCTGTCATATAATAATATATTTATTCATTTAAACATGAAATAAATATTCAGATTATTTTAAATAAATGCTTAATTCCCCTCACCCAGCAGACTTTGGCTGTGCTGGAACTAGAGATCTCAGGCTGGAGTCTCCTTGTCCACACACAAACCTGCTGTGAGGAGGAGGAGGAGGAGAAGGAGGAGGCAGTCCCTCCCCAGCCCCATGTTTTATTATCATCATCTACCAACAGGGTTGTATTTTATTTATCATTTAAATATACTATTACTTATTTTTTAGAGCATTCTAGGCTAAGAAAAATGGCATTATGGTGCCGAGAGTGACGCACCAACTGCACACGAGAGACAGGAGGGTCAGGGCTTTTTTTCCTGGGTGGAAGGGCAGTTGTTCGCTTGCAGGCACTCTGCGCTGCAATGGGCCGTGTGACTGCCGAAATTCAATACAGATGAAGATTCCTCCCAGACCAAAGGTGCCCATGCAGAAAGCTCTTGCTGCATATGTAGTGCCAATAATATTGAATTCATGCTCATTGTTAATTGTGGGTCCCTCTTTTGTGGGAGGAGTGTCCTTCATTCCCGGGGATCCCTGTTTCATGGAGTGGTCCGGCTTTGCCATGGGGGAGGTACTTTATTCGGGAAGGGGGGCGGTTTCCCTTGGGTGTGGGTGTTCCTGGTATTCTCCTTCATTGCCGAGGCTACCTGTTTCACGGGGGGGGTGTGTGTCCCTCAGTCTTGGGGTGTCTTCCCTCATTCCCGGGGGGGTCCCTCTTTCCTGGGTGGTCTGTCTTTCCCTGGAGTCCCCGTTTCTGGGGGGGGAAGGGTCCCTGGTTCATGATGGGGTTTCCTCATCGGCGTGGGTGTTCCTGGGGGTCTCCCTCATTCCCGGGGGTGTCCCTCATACCCGGATGGGTCCGTCATTGCCGGGGGGTTCCCGTGGCAGGTACAGGAGTGGTACTAGTCGCTGCTGTGCCCCCGCTCACGGCCCTACTCCGAGTGTACAAGTAACACCCGGGTGAGCCCCGCCCTGCCCCTCCCCCTCTCTTCCCACCCCCCCGGATGTGGGGGAGGGTCTCCAACTGACCCCCCCTCGGTCCCCCCACGTCCCCTGCCCTCTCCAGACTTGGAACCGAGCAAAGCACGAGGATTTTGGGGGCAATAAGGGGCGATTTGGGGTCTCCCTTGGCTTCAGCCACCCCTCCTCCACCCCTGAATGCCCCTCCCCATTCCTCCCTGTAATAGATTAGTAGTAGTAATTTACTCATCAAATTAGTAGTAGTAAAGAAATTTACTCATTCAATTGTATTGCATGTTATATTCCTATATATATGTTATTGTAATCAATGTTCTGTTAAGGCTGGAGAACTGCAAGCTGCAGAATGGTTAATTAATCTGTCAGTACTATAGGCTGATAGTCCTGCAGCTGCAGTTCTTAAGCTGACAAGACAAATTATTGTGCCCTGCTGAATAAGTCTTTTGTATCTTGTTTTTCTAAAAGTATATTGTCTAAAAGTGTACGCCTGACGTAACGAAGGGAAGGACAAGGATCAAAGGGTCAAGTACGAGGACGATAAAGAGTATCCAAGGTGGACATCTGGAGGGACTCACACACTAGGCCTCAAGGACAAAGGATTACCTAAAACTATGGATGGGGAAGTACCTGGCAACTGAAATGGGCCTGCAAAAGAACCAACCAGAACCAGACCTGCGAACTCAGATCCACTAGAGGGATAACAAGTGACTATGGGAGGGGAATTTAAGGGTGTTATAGGTAAAATGAAACTTAGGCTGAAATATAGCAGCAAAAATTTATTAAAGATTTATATAAAATGCAAATAAGCAAAACAGCGCGCTGGGCTGCCGAGGAGACCCCTGCTCCACACACGGCCAGCAAAGCAGTGGGCAAAAACAGTATTCTTTATACTATTGTCAATTCCCTTCCCATAGTCACTTGTTATCCTTCTATTGCATCCGAGTTCGCAAGTCTGGTTCTGGTTGGTTCTTTTGCAAGCTCGCTTTCAGTTGCCAGGTACTTCCCTTTCCATAGTTTTTGGTAATTTTTCGTCCTTGAGGCCTACTGTGTGAGTCTCTCCAGATGTCCATCTTGGATACTTTTTATCGTCTTCGTTCTTGACCCTTTGATCCTTGTCCTTTCCTTCGTTACTTTAAGCGTACACTTTTAGACAATATACAAAAGACTTATTCAGTAAGGCATAACAACTTGTTTTGTCAGCTTAAGAACTGCAGCTGCAGGACTATCAGTTTATAGTACTGACAGATTAATTGCCCATTCTGCAGCTTACAGTCCACCGACCTTAACAGAACCTTGATTACAATTATATATATATATATATATATATATATAAAAATATAACATGCAATACCATTGAATTAGTAAATTACTTTACTACTAATAATTTGATGAGTAAATTATGTTACTACTACTAATCTATTACAAGGGTATAAAGGTTACTGGTTTTGTGCACTGTGCTTGCTGGCCGTGTGTGGAGCAGGGGTCTCCCCCGGATGCCCAGCGCGCTGTTTTGCTTATTTGCATTTTATATAAATCTTTAATAAATTTTTGCTGCTATATTTCAGCCTAAGTTTCATTTACCTATAACATCTGCATCTGGCTTCGGCCAATGGCCATGCAGATGTCGTTAGATATCTGCTAAGAAAGAACAGCCAACCGAACCTCACTGACAGCTTCAAGAGAACGGCCCTGATGAAGGTGTGTGGAATGCCTTCTGAGCTTGTAGGTGGGGCTTAGTGATGGTGTGTTAAAGGGGAGGTGTCTGGCAGGATTCCTTGCAGCACAGGCCATAGAAACACGCCTATTGCAATGGGCATGGCATAGGCCTCTGTTAGCTAATCTTTGCAGATGGTCTTCTATACCAGCACTCAGGAGCTGAGGGAGTTGTGACAGAGGGGGATGGATGTAAAAGTTGGAAGTCTTTCCCTTTTGGTGTGTTGTTCCCAGGCAGTCCAGTAGGAGCAGGAAGAATGTGTTGCTATTCTGCTGGACCACGGTGCCGACCCAAATCTGGCATATGCAGACGGCAACACTGCCCTTCACCTGGCTGTGCTATCTAAAAATACAGCTGTAGCAGGGCTGTTACTGGAGCATCATGCCAAGAGTGATGCTCAGAACCAGGTAACCTTGGCATGCGGGTAAAGCTGCTCTTTCAAAGAGTTGTCTGTGTCTTTCTAATGGGGATTCTTTCTCCTTTTAGAGGGGATTTACCCCCTTGAAACTTGCAGCCTTGCAACAGCATGAGGAGATTGTGGAGTGCTTTGTGAAAAAAGCAGCTGACAGGCCTGCTCAAGCCCAGGGGGAAAGGTGAGGGCTTTGTCAAAACAGCACCCGGGTCTTCTGGGTAGTCTGTAAGTGTGAGTGAGGCAAGGGGCGTGGCAATGAGATTGGAAAAAGAAGGAGGAGCCCTGTGGAAGCAGTTCCCCGGGTGACTGGTAAATGCAGGTCTGCACTTGGCTGCTCTCGTAGCTTCGGGGCTCTCGCCCTTTGCCCCCTGAGGTCTGCAATAAAGTCTGTGGTGCCCTCCCCCACACAGAGCCAGAGCCCCGGGGAAACTTGCCAGTAGCTCAGCAGCGGGGCTGCTCTGCAGGCCCGGGAGGTTTAAGGCAAGGCAGAGTTGGGGCGTGAAGTGCTCTGAAGGGAAGCATTGGGGGAAAGAGAAGCAACACTGTGCGAGGAGACACGAGGGGCTCCGAGTGCACCGAAGGAGAAAACTTGCTGCCATGGAGATGGTCAGGTGGTGGAAGGGCTTGCCCCAGGAGTTTGTGCAGCCACATCTGTGGGGCCTTTGAAGAGCAGTGCAAGGAGCCCTGAAGAGCACGGCCTGAGCTGCTAGTTGAGGCTGCTTAAGGGAGGCCCCTTGTAAGAGAAATTCTCCAGTGCTTGCATGGACTTGGCTTTGCTTTCCCGGAACTTGTAGGAAAGGGGGGAAAAGGTCTTTTGGGAGCAAGCAGGGGAAAAATGATGCTGGATGAGACAGGTTTCCGACGCACTTTTGGATGCTTTAGGACTGCTCTTATGGTTACTGGAAGCAATGAGGAATCTTCGTCCGTATTTACTTTTGGACCTCAGACGGCCCATTTAGGACAGGGCTCCTGCCAAAAACGATTTCCCTCCAACAAGGAAATGACCTCTGACCCTCCGTCTCTCCCCTGCTGTTGGTGCAGCACTCTGGGAACTACGTGCACAGCAAGAGCTTTCTGGGCGGGCCCCTTTGGTCTAGGAGGAATCTTCGTCCATATTTACTTTTGGGCCTCGGACGGCCGATTTATAAATGGGGCTCCTGACAAGAAAGATTGCCCTTCCAGCCTGGAAAAGAGGCTTGACCCTCCGTCTCTCCCCTGCCGTTGGTGCAGCACTCTGGGCACTATGTGCACAGCAAGAGCTTTCTGGGCGGGCCCCTTTGGTCAGGGTGGAATCTTCGTCCCTATTCACTTTTGGGCCTCGGACGGCCCTTTTAGGACGGGGCTCCTGCCACGAATGATTGGCCTTCCAGCTAGGAAAAGACCCCTGACCATCCTTCTCTCCCCTGCAGTTGTTGCAGCACTCTGGACACTAAGTGCACAGCAAGAGCTTTCTGGGCAGGTCCCTTTGGTCTGGGAGGAATCTTCGTCCCTATTCCCTTTTGGGCCTCGGACAGCTCATTTAGGAATGGGGCTCCTGCCACCAACGATTGCCCTTCCAGGCAGGAAAAAAGGCCTGACCCTCTCTCTCCTTTGCCTTTGTTGCAGCACTCTGGGCACTACGTGCACAGCAAGAGCTTTCTGGGTGGACCCCTTTGGTCAGGGTGGAATCTACGTCCCTATTCACTTTTGGGCCTCGGATGGCCCTTTAAGGACAGGGCTCCTGCCACGAACAATTGCCCTTCCAGCCCGGAAAAGACCTCTGACCCTCGGTCCCTCCCCTGCAGTTGGTGCAGAAATCTGGGCACTACGTGCACAGCAAGAGCTTTCTGGACGGGCCCCTTTGGTCTGGGAGGAATCTTCATCCATATTCAGTTTTGGGCTTCGGACGGACCATATAGGACGGTCCTCCTGCCACCAATGATTGCCCTTCCAACCAGGAAAGGACCCCTGACCCTCTGTCTCTCCTCTGCAGTTGTTGCAGCACTCTGGACACTAAGTGCACAGCAAGAGCTTTCTGGGCAGGCCCCTTTGGTCTGGGAGGAATCTTTGTCCATATTCACTGTTGGACCTCGGATGACCCATTTAAAAATGGGACTCCTGCCACCAACGATTGCCCTTCCAGGCAGGAAAAAAGTCCTGACCCTCTTTCTCTCCTGTGCCGTTGTTGCAGCACTCTGGGCACTACGTGCACAGCAAGAGCTTTCTGGGTGGGCACCTTTGGTCTAGGAGGTTTCTCCGTCCCTATTCACTTTTGGGCCCCAGACAACCCTTTTAAGAATGGGACTCCTGCCACAAACGATTGCCCTTCCTGTCAGGAAAAAAAGGCCTGACCCTCCATCTCTTCCCTGCCATTGGTGCAGCACTCTGGGCACTACGTGCACAGCAAGAGCTTTCTGGGCGGGCCCCTTTGGTCAGGGAGGAATCTCCGTTCGTGTTCAGTTTTGGACCTCGAATGACGCATTTAGGATAGGGCTCCTGACACAAACGATTGCCCTTCCAACCGGGAAAAAAGGCCTGACCCTCCGTCTCTCCCCTGCCGTTGGTGCAGCAGATTTGGCACTACGTGCACAGCAAGAACTTTCTGGGCGGGCCCCTTTGGTCTGGGTGGAATCTTTGTCTGTATTCACTTTTGGGCCTCAGACGGCCCATTTAGGAACAGGGCTCCTACCAAAAATGATTGCCCTTCCAGCCAGGAAAGGACCCCTGACCCTCTGTCTCTGCTCTGCCGTTGGTGCAGCACTCTGGGCACCACGTGCAAAGCAAGAGCTTTCTGGATGGACCCCTTTGGTCTGGGAGGTATCTTCATCCCTATTCACTTTTGTTCCTCGGACGGCCCATTTAGGAACAGGGCTCCTGCCAAAAATGATTGCCCTTCCAGGCAGGGAAAAAGACCTGACCCTCCGTCTCTTCCCTGCCATTGTTGCAGCACTCTGGGCGCTACATGCACAGCAAAAGCTTTCTGGGCGGACCCCTTTAGTCTGGGAGGAATCTTCGTCCGTATTCACTGTTGGGCCTCGGACGGCCCATTTAGGAACAGGGCTGCTGCAAGGAACAATTGCCCTTCCCATCAGTAAAAAAGGCCTGACTCTCCATCTCTCCCCTGCAGTTGTTGCAGCACTCTGGGCACTACGTGCACAGCAAGAGCTTTCTGGGCGGACCACTTTGGTCTGGGAGGAATCTTCGTCCGTATTCACTTTTGGGCCTCAGAGGGCCCATTTAGGAACAGGGCTCCTGCCACCAACGATTGCCCTTCCAGCCAGGAAAAAAGGCCTGACCCTCCTTCTCTTCCCTGCCATTGTTGCAGCACTCTGGGTGCTACATGCACAGCAAAAGCTTTCTGGGCGGACCCCTTTGGTCTGGGAGGAATCTTTGTCTGTATTCACTTTTGGGCCTCGGACGGCCCATTTAAAACAGGGGCTCCTTCAACCGACGATTGGCCTTCCAGCCAGGAAAAAAGGCCTGACCTTTCATCTGTCTCCTGCTCTTGGTGCAGCACTCTGGGCACTACATGCACAGCAAGACCTTTCTGGGCGGGCACCATTGGTCAGGCAGGAATCTCCATCCGTATTCACTTTTGGGCCTCGAACGGCCCATTTAGGAAGGAGCTCCTGCCACGAACCATTGCCCTTCCAGCCAGGAAAAACCCCCTCACCTTCCGTCTCTCCCCTGCTGTTGGTGCAGCACTCTGGGCACTACATGCACAGCAGGAGCTTGCTGGGCGGGCCCACTTTTGGGCCTCAGAGGACCCATTTAGGACGGGGCTCGTGCCAAAATCAGTTGCCCTTCCAGCCAGGAAAAGACCTCTGATCCTCCGTCTCTCCCCTGCTGTTGGTGCAGCACTCTGAGCACTACGTGCACATACAAGACTTTTCTGGGCGGGCCCCTGTGGTCTGAGAGGAATCTTTGTCTGTATTCACTTTTGGACCTCGAACGGCCCAAAACGAATGGGGCTCCTGCGACAAACGATTACCCTTCCAGCCAGGAAAAAAGGCCTGACCCTCTGTCTCTCCCCTGGTGTTGGTGCAGGACTCTGGGCACTACGTGCACAGCAAGAGCTTTCTGGGCGGGCCCCTTTGGTCTGGGAGAAATCTTCATCCCTATTCACTTTTGGGCCTTGGACAGCCCATTTAGGAACAGGGCTCCTGCAAAAAACGTTTGCCCTTCCAGCAAGGAAAAAAGGCCTGACCCTCTGTCTTACTCCTGTGGTTGTTGCAGCACTCTGGGCACTACGTGCACAGCAAGAGCTTTCTGGGCGGACACCTCTTGTCTGGGAGGAATCTTCGTCCGTATTCACTTTTGGGCTTCGGACAGCCCATTTAGGAACAGGGCTCCTGCCACCAATGATTGCCCTTCCCATCAAGAAAAAAGGCTTGACCCTCCATCTCTCCCCTGCCGTTGGTGCAGCACTCTGGGCACTACGTGCACAGCAAGAGCTTTCTGGGCTGGCCCCTTTGGTCTAGGAGGAATCTCCGTCCGTATTCACTTTTGTTCCTCGGACACACACTCACACATGCTGAGACACACTCATACACAACTGCAAACACTCAGACACACTCAGACCCATAAATACACGCTCTGTTACACTGAGGCAAACTCAGACACACTCAGACACACTTGCACACACTCAGACACACTCAGGCACACTCAGACACACTCAGAAATGCTCAGACACACTCAAACACACTCAAACACACGCAGACACACTTAGACACACTCAGACACATTAAGACCGGCTCAGATACACTCACACATGCTCAGACACACTCAGACACAACTGCAAACAGTCAGACACACTCAGACCCATAAATACACACTCTGGCACACTTAGGCACACTCAGACACACACAGACACACTCGCACACACCCTGACACACTCAGACACACTCATGCACACTCAAGCGCACTCAGATGCACCCGCACACACTCGGACACACTCAGACACACCTGCAAACACTCAGACACCCTCAGACACATAAAGACATGCTCAGACACACTGAGGCACACTCAGACACACTCATGCACACAGACACATTCTCTCACACTCAGACACACTCAAACACACTCAGGCACACTCTCAGACACACTGGCACACACTGAGACACACTTGAACACACTCCGACACACTCAGACACACTCGCACACACTCAGACACAATAAGACAGGCTCAGATACACTCACACAACCTCAGACACGCTCAGACACAACTGCAAACACTGAGAAACACTCAGACCCATAAATACATTCTCAGGCACACTCAGGCACACTCAGGCACAATCAGGCATGCTTGAACACACTCAGATACACCTGAAAAAGCGGAGAAACAACCAGACCAATAACTACACGCTCAGGCACACCCAGACACACTCAGACACACTCGCACACACTCAGATACACCTGCAAACAATGAGAAACAACCAGACCCATAACTACATGCTCAGGTACACTCAGGCACACTGAGACACACTCGCACACCCCCAGAAACACTCAGATACACTCAGACATGCTCAGACAAACTCTGACACACTCAGGCGCACCCAGACACACTCACACACACTCACAGACAGAACTGCAAACACACTCAAAAACACTCAGACACACTCAAACACATTTGAACACACTCAAACAAACTCTCACACACTCAGACACACTCAGACACACTCGCACAGCCCCAGACACATTCGCTCACACTCAGATACATTCAGACACATTCGCACACACTCAAAAACACTTCAACACACTCAGACACACTCAAACACACTCCCACGCAATCAGACACATAAATACATGCTCAGGCATGCTCAGGCACATAGAGTAAACACTCGCACACACCCAGACACACTCAGACACACTCGCACACAGACAAACTTTAAGACACTCAGACACACTTAAGCACACACTCACACATCCAGACACAATCAGAAACATTCACACACTCTCAGACACACTCAGGCACACTCAGACACACTCGCACACACCCAGACACATTTGCTCACACTCAGACACACTCAGGCACAGTCGCATACACTCAGACACACCTGCAAACACTGACAAACAATCAGACCCATAAATATATGCTCAGGCACACCCAGACACACTCAGACACACTCGCACACTTAGACACACTCAGAAACACTCAGACATGCTCAGACACACTCAGACACAACTGCAAAAAAACTCGCACACACTCAGACACACTCAGACACACTTAGACACACTCAGACACACTCAGACACACCCAGACACACTCAGACACACTCAGACACACTCAGAAACACTGAGACACACTCGCACACGCTCAGACACAACTGCAAACACACTCGCACACTCAGACACACTTAGACACACTCGCACACACCTAGACGGATTCGCTCACACTCAGATACACTCAGACACGCTCAGACACACTCGCACACAGCCAGACACACTTAAACACACTCAGACACACTCAAGCACAGTCCCACACACCCAGACACACTCAGACATGCTCAGACACACTCCCACACATCCAGGCACACTCAGAAAAATTCGCACACATTCAGACACACTCTCACACACTCAGAAACACTCATACACTCTCAGACACAGGCACACTCAGACACACTCACACACACTCAGACACACCTGCAAACACTGACAATCAGACCCATAAATATATGCTCAGGCACACTCATGCACACTCATGCACACTGAGACACACTCACACAAACCCAGATATACTCAGATACACTCTGACATGCTCAGACACACTCAGGCACACCCAGACACACTCAGACACACTCAGACACATTCGCACACACCGAGACACACTCAGACACACTCAGACACATTCGCACACACCGAGACACACTCACATACCCTCAGACACACCCAGACACAATCAGACACACTCGCACACACTCTCACACACTCGCACACTCACACACACTCGCACACACTCAGACACACTGCCACACGCTCAGACACAACTGCAAACACACTCGCACACTCAGAAACACTCAGACACACTCGCACACACTCAGAGACATTCACTCACACTCACATACACTTAGACACACTCAGAAACACTCGCACACAGCCAGACACACTTAAACACACTCAGACACACTCAAGCACACTCCCACACACCCAAACACACTCAGTTACACTCAAACACACTCAGAAACACTCAGGTACACTGAGAGATGCTCACAGACTCAGACACACACACACACACACTCAGAAACACTCAGACACACTTGAACACACTCAGACAGACTTAGACACACTTGAGCATACTCAAACACACTCAGACACACTCAGACACACTCAAGCACACTCCCACACATCCAGACGTAATCAGACACACTCGCACACATTCAGACACACTCTCACACACTCAGAAACACTCACACACTCTCAGATACACTCAGGCAACTCAGACACACTCGCACACACCCAGACACATTCGCACAAACACAGATATTCTCAGACACACTCAGACACACTCTCACAAAGCCAGACACACTTAGACACACTCAGACACACTCAGGCACACTCAGCACTATCGCATACACTCAGACACACCTGCAAATATTGACAAACAATCAGACCCATAAATATATGCTCACGCACACTCAGGCACACTTGAGCACACTCGCACACACTCAGACACACTCAGATACACTCCGACACGCTCAGAAACACCAGGCACACCCAGACACACTCAGACACACTCAGAAACACTCAGACAAACTCGCACACACTGAGACACACCCAGACACACTTAGACACACTCAGACACACTCTCACACACCCAGACACATTCCCTCACACTCAGACACGCTCAGACACACTCAGACACACTCGCACACAGCCAGACACACTTAAACACACTCAGACACACTCAAGCACACTGAGACACATCCTGACATACTCAGACACACTCGCACGCACTCAGACACACTCTCACACACCCAGACACATTCCCTCACACCCAGACACGCTCAGACACACTCAGACACACTCAAGCACACTCCTACACATCCAGACGTAATCTGACACACTCGCACACAGCCAGACACACCCTCACACACTCAGAAACACTCACACACTCTCAGATACACTCAGGCACACTCAGACACACTCCCACACATCCAGACACATTTGCACAAACACAGATATTCTCAGACACACTCAGACACACTCTCAGAAAGCCAGACACACTTAGACACACTCAGGCACACTCAGCACAATCGCATACACTGAGACACACCTGCAAATATTGACAAACAATCAGACCCATAAATATATGCTCACGCACACTCACCCACGCTCAGACACATTCGCACAAACACAGACATACTCAGATGCACTCCAACACGCTCAGACACACTCAGACACACTCGCACACACTCAGACACACTCAGACACACTTAGACACACTCAGAAGCACTCAGACACGCTCAGACACACTCAGGGACACCCAGACACACTCGCACATGCTCAGACACAACTGCAAACACACTCGCACACTCAGACACACTTAGACACACTCGCACACACCTAGACGGATTCACTCACACTCAGATATGCTCAGACACACTCAGACACACTTGCACACAGCCAGACGAACTTAACCACACTCAGACACACTCAAACACAGTCCCACACACCCAGACACGCTCACACACACTCAGACACACTTGAGCACACTCAAACACACTCAGACACACTCAAGCACACTCCCACACATCCAGACACACTAAGAAACATTTGCACACATTCAGACACACACTCAGAAACACTCACACACTCTCAGACACACTCAGGCACACTCAGACACACTCGCACACACCCAGACACATTCACACACACCCAGACACATTCGCACAAACACAGATATTCTCAGACACACTCAGACACACTCTCACAAAGCCAGACACGCTTAGAAACACTCAGGCACACTCAGACACAATCGTACACACTTAGACACACCTGCAAACATTGACAAACAATCAGACCCATAAATTTTTGCTCAGGCACACTCACGCACACTGGGACACGCTCACACACACCCAGACAAACTCAGATACACTCTGACACACTCAGAAACACTCAGGCACACCCAGACACAGACACACTCGCACACAGACAGACACACTTAAACACACTCAGTCACACTCAGGCACAGTCCCACACACCCAGACACACTCAGACATGCTCAGAAAAACTCAGGCACACCCAGACACTCTCAGACACACTCGCACACACGCAGACACATTCGCTCACACTCAGATACACTCAGACAGGCTCGCACACACTCAGACACACCTGCAAACACTGACAAACAATCAGACCCATAAATATATGCTCAGGCACACTCGTGCACACTCAGACACACTCACACAAATCCAGATACGCTCAGATACACTCTGACATGCTCAGACACACTCAGGCACACTCAGACACACTCAGACACATTCGCACACACCGAGACACACTCACATACCCTCAGACACACCCAGACACAATCAGACACACTCGCACACACTCACACACACTCAGAAGCACTCAGACACGCTCAGACACACTCAGACACACTCAGGGACACCCAGACACACTCGCACATGCTCAGACACAACTGCAAACACACTCGCACACTCAGAAACACTTAGACACACTCGCACACACCTAGACGGATTCACTCACACTCACATACGCTTAGACACACTCAGACACACTCGCACACAGCCAGACACACTTAAACACACTCAGACGCACTCAAGCACACTCCCACACACTCAGTTACACTCAAACACACTCAGAAACACTCAGGCACACTGAGAGATGCTCACAGACTCAGACACACTCACACACACTCAGACACAGTCAGACACACTTGAACACACTCAGACACACTCAGACACACTCAAGCACACACTCACACATCCAGACACACTCAGAAACTTTCGCACACATTCAGACACACTCTCACACACTCAGAAACACTCACACACTCTCAGACACACTCAGACACACTCTCACAAAGCCAGACATACTTAGACACACTCAGACACAGTCAGGCACACTCAGACACACTCAGACACACTCGCACAACCCTAACTTGGGTTAGAGTTAGGGTTAGGGTTTAGGTTTAGGGTTCTGGTTTAGGGTTAGGGTTGGTGTTAGGTTTAGGGTTAGGGTTAGGTTTAAGGCTTAGTGTTAGGGTTTAGGGTTAGGGTTAGACAGAATCTGTCTCAATGTGTGATCTAACAATCGTGGGTTTTGGGTTAGGGTTAGGCTTAGGTTTAGGGTTAGGATTCGGGTTAGGGTTAGGGTTGTGGTTAGGGTTTAGGGTTAGGGTTGTGGTTAGGGTTTAGGGTTAGGGTTAGGGTTAGGGTTCAGGGTTAAGGGTTAGGCAGAATCTGTCTTAATACGTGATCTAACAATCGCGGGTTTAGCGGTTCCCAATAAGCCCCTCTCGGGCTATAAGCCAAATTCACTGCCCACAGGTGTCAGAACCTTTTGCTTTTTCTCTTGGGTGTCTGCTTTTCCTGTTGCTGTTCTGTTGCATGTCTGGCAGAATGCCCACCGCCGTCCGGTATGTACTCTGCTTATATAGAGCACTGGCCCCGCCCACTGGGTGGAGTTAAGAGGGGGAGTCAGTGCTGATTGGTCCACACACTAACTGCAAACTATGCCCAAAACCTGTTCCCTAACCCTAACCTTAAAAAAGAGATTGCAAGCTATGCGCAAATCCTATTCCCTGACCCTAACCCTAAAAAAGAGACTGCAAGCTATGTGCAAACCCTGTTCCCTAACCCTAACCTTAAAAAAGAGACTGCAAGCTATGCACAAAGCCAGTTCCCTAACTGAAACCTTAAAAAAAAGACTGCAAGCTACTAGGGTTAGGATTAGCAAGAGATAGGTTTAAGGTTAGGGTTAGGGTTAGGGTTAAGGTTTAGGGTTAGAGTTAGGGTTAGGGTTAGGGTTAGTTTTAGGGTTAGGGTTAGCAAGGGTTAGGGTTAGCAAGGGATAGGTTTAGGGTTAGGGTTAGGGTAAGGGTTAGGGTTAGTTTTAGGGTTAGCAAGGGTTAGGGTTAGCAAGGGATAGGTTTAGGGTTAGGGTTAGGGTAAGGGTTAGGGTTAGTTTTAGGGTTAGCAAGGGTTAGGGTTAGCAAGGGATAGGTTTAGTGTTAGGGTTAGGGTAATGGTTAGGGTTATTGTTAGGGTTAGGGTTTAGAATTAGGGTTAGGTTTAGTGTTAAACTTAGGGTTATGGTTAGGGTTAGGGTTA